GCGACGAAGTTTATTCAGTAAATAAATTTAAACACTACGGCCAGAAAGGTTGTTTGTAAAAAGGGAAGATGTCGGTTACTATCGAATCCTATCCTACTAATTCGGTTACATACCGATAAAACTAACTTAGCCAGACATGATAATTAATGCGAACGGAAATAGACATAAACAACAGAATAATAAAGCGTGCATCATAACAGAAATAAAGTAGTAATTCAATTAATAAAAACCTGTAAATTGTACTGATCTCAAATCCTTGGGTAGTCCCCCACAATGTCGGCAGGATTCTACTTTGGCGAGAAATAAAAGGTACAGGAAGAAAATACAATATTCTGAACTGAAGGAAAATGGAAAGGAAAATAAAAGTAACGATAAATAACTTTGATGGAATTTTGGCAGAACTTCGGGATGAAGAATCCACCCTTTTCTCTGTGAATCTCTTGTCTATTTATAGGAGATGTTTCTTATCTCAACTTCCTGAGATCATGCGTGAGATATGGAGAAAGTGATAGTAACTTCCAGTAGTGGGCAGTGAGTGGAGAAAGTGTAGTAACTTCCAGTAGTGGGCAGTGAGTGGAGAAAGTGTAGGAAGGATTTAAGTTGAGATTGATCGTGAATTCTGATTCTGCGTTTTTTGTCTGCGTGACGGTCGTCATGAAATGTGACGGTCATCACACGCATGACGGTCGTCATGGACCTGTGACGGTCGTCACAGCAGCAGAATCCGTATCTGCTGTTTTTCATCTATTTTTCATCCGTTTTTCATCTGTTTCTTCTCCTTTTCTTTCTTTAGTCCAAATTCTCCCCAATCTGCAAAACGAAGTAAACTAATCATGTAATAGAACATAAATCAAGATAAATTAATAAAAGTCACAAATAAATGCATGTAAATCAAGCCAAATAAACGATATGATTTCGCGTTATCAGCAACTTTTGAAAATCCTGTGTTTATACTGGAAATTTCAAAAAATACGGTATATATTACTGAAAATTTATAAAAATCTGGTACTCTATACTAGAAATTTGGAAATATCCGCCAAAGACCATAAACATTTTGGCAGCAATACTAGAAATTTCAAAAAATTTCCGGTACCAAGCAAAACCTTCCGGAAATTTGAAAATTTTCGGTATATCTGAAATTTCGCTTGCAATAGAAATTTCCGATAATAGAATTGGAAGTTCAAAAATGATTACTTTGTGCGGTTCGGAACTGGCAGAGTTATCTACGGATTCGTGTAGCGATTGCACGCAGTTCTTCACCACAGACAAAATATGTTTTCCATGTAACAAGTTAAAATTTAATATTTTTTGGGGTTATATGATATTAATACTATTATTTATGTAATATAAATGACAGATATTTGAGAGCCGAGGTGAAGTATTAGCTTGGACACAACATATTGGCAAGCAACATGGTATTATAGTCGTGATTATTCGTTCTGATACTGCATATGGCCAACGAGGTAGGAAGGATAAATTGATTATGGGTCATGATAGAGGAGGAAATTATAAATAAAAAAAAATACATTTGAAAGTAGTAAAACTTCATATGACATTTATAGTATGAAAGTGAAATATCCTTTTAGGCTAAGATATTCGCCAAGTGGTATTAGTTTGAAGGTGATGGTTAGGTGTGGGTTTCACAATCATAAACTACCCGAGAATTTAGATGGTCATGACATATTGGGTTCTCTAAACGATAATGAGAGACAATTTGTGAATGAAATGACAAAGTACAACATGGATCCACGGTACATAGTTTCTGTCTTGAAAAACAAAGATCTAGAAAATCTCACAAGTGTTATCCAAATGTATAAAGCTATAGCTACGTACAATGCGAGTAAGAGAGGTGCATTGACGAAAATGTAAATGTTGTTGAATCTTATTCATAAAGAAAAGTACATGTACTGGACAAAAAATAGGGAAGACTCAAATGTTGTTGCTAATATCTTCTAGACACATCCCGATTCAGTGAAGTTGTTGAATATGTTTCACTTGGTGTTGATTTTTTATTGTACATACAATACCAATAGGTAATGTGCATCTTGATCAAGCCTTGATACCATTTTGACATATTTTAACTTATTAGATTTTTTATTATTTGAATCATGAACATACATGTATCGATTACCACTGCTTGAGATTGTTGGGGTAACGTCAAAAAGTTGACATTTTTTAATAGGATTTGCCTATTTGGAACATGAAAGGGAGTATAACTTCACATGGGTACTTGAGAAGCTTAAATAGTTGTTTTCTTATGAGAAATTAGTACCCAATCTCGCTGTGACGGACCGAGAACTTGCATTATGAATGCAATTCAAGTTGTGTTTCCAAATTCAACAAATCTGTTATGTTCATTCCACATTACCAAAAATGTTAGCATTACGTGTAAGGAGTATGTTAAATCAAAAAGACACGAACATGTCATGGATCTATAGAACAAGATCATGTATTCTAATAGAGAAACTGAGTATCTCGCACACTTGAAGCACTTTGAAACTGTTTGTGCTGATATACCTTTGTTTGTTAAGTATGTAAATGAAACATGGTTGACACCTTATAAAAAAAAAAGGTTTCTGGCTGCTTGGACTAACAAAGTCACTCATTTAGGGAACACAACAATTGATAGGTATATTAATTTATTTTCGATGTTATTACTAAGCATAATTTATCTTGTTGTCTCATTATAGTTTAACTATTGTGATTTAGGGTGTAACCTGCTCATTGGAGACTGAAAAACATGTTGACTACAAGTCAGAGAGATTTATGTTGAAGTCGAGATGCTGTGGATACCATGCTAAAATTGCAGTTAGGTTTAATCAGAGTTTCGTTTCAAAAATGTATTGTCAACATTGGGCATCAGTATAACACTTCATTCTATGCCAACTTGCACAACTTTGTTTCAAGGCAGTGTATACAACACATAGGAAAAAAGCTAGAAAGGGTAAAATTTATTGGTATAAACAAAGATATTTGTGGTTGCTTCATTAGATCTACACATGAGTTACCTTGTGCGTGTCAACTTGTTAGTTTTCAAATACAAGGCTTGCATGTTCCTTTAGAACCAATTCATGTTTTTTTTGGAAGAAATTACACATTCAAGAGCATGCTAATGGTCGTGATGATAGTGATACAAAGCTGGATTTAGAAGCAAAATGAGAAGAGTTGAAGACATATTTCAATTCTTTGGATATTGTAGGCCAGAGGGTATTGAAGAAAAAGGTTCGAGAACTAACACATCCAGCCACAACTTTTATGTGTCCACCGCCGGTGAAGTACAAGCCAAATATGAGAGTTAAAAAGAGCAGAAAGGATGAAAAGAGTGATGTGCATTGTGATCCCTCACATCGAGAGTATGATGAGGGCTCGCAGGGGAATCGAACTACAAAGAAATCATGCACAAACCCAATAGGAAGTCAACCTTCTAGTATGTCGGGTCAAAGTCAATCGTCAAGTATGTTGGGTCAAAGTCAATCGTCATATGTGTCTTTTAGGCATCTTTACTTGACTCAGTTTTCTGGTTTCTTACATCCATACATTGATGACATTGTGATGTGGGTGACGATGAAAATTGTGGTTTTTGGGCTATCGCAACTTTACTTGGATGGGGGAGAAGAATCATGGTCGTTGGTCTGAACGCAATTGGATACTCAAGTTCATCAACACCCAAAATTATTTTTCAAATTGTTTTATGACATGATTGCTGAAGTTAGGAATTCCTTAATAGTATAATACTTGGGTGTGCAGGATAGAGATAAATGGATGTCGATTCTTGATATGAGTTACCCTAATGCAAGTAGGTACAATGTCGTCTTTGTCTCCCAGTCACAAAGACTTAACATTACCCTTTTTCCTTTTACCATAATTCCATATATGTATACAAGCAAACATAAAATCATTGTTGTTGCATTTGTCAACGACAATCATCGGGTTCAAGTAAAATTAAAATCTAATAGTCCACTGTCTTCCGTCACTGATCGTTGGAGACATGACTGTACTGAAAAAGCAAAAGTATAGGAATCGACATATGCATAACAGATTAGACATTAGAAGAAAGAGCTTGGAAAGTCATCTTATGTAATCTTGTGAACATTATGTATTTATTTAATATGAAACCATTTATGTGGTAAAAATATTAAAATTATATATATATTTTTTAAATTTAAAAATATATCAAAAAAATTTTAAAATTTTAAAATTTATAATATAACAGAAATATTAAATTTCCAAAAAATTTGTCCAAAGATTTGAGGCCCAACACTCAATTGAACACAGATTACTATTAGGACCTTTTTTTAAATATTTAAATAATAATAATTGAAATAGAGTGGGACCCGCGCCAGAGTAGACTTTCTTCTCTTTCTCTCTGTCTATGACTGTCTCACCAGTATTCAACCGCAACGAAACGCAAACTCTCTCTTTCTCCGTCGCTATCTGTAAATAACCTCTCTCTCTCCTCCAACTTTTCCGCCTTCTTTCCACGAACCTTCTCTTCCACTTCAATTCTTCTTCCTTCCAACTCCTCCACACTTTTCATCATCAATTCCGTCTACGCTTTTTCCTTCCATACTTCAGTTACTACTCACGGTACCTTTCCCCTTTTCCCTTTTTCTCCTTATTTTTTCTTCTTCTTGTTGATACTATTACATTCTGTTTTTTCATACTATTCTCATAATTTGGAATTTCATTCATGATTATCAATAATCCACTGTTTATTTCCCCTAGTTATTTCTAAAAACACTATAATCATCATCATCATCCGTATATCATGACGCATGTACATGGAAGGGGCTTATTATGCACCTATTTGATTTTTAACCTATTGTAATTAATTATTAATATTTTTTGGTTGACTAATTCTGAAAATCTCTATTGTTTTGTTGTAGGTAATGACTAATTCAATTGAGGTTTAATATGAAGCTTAGTGTTTTCCAAGCTGAGATTTATTACAACACACGGATTCACTGTGTTCTTTCTTGCTTTTGAATTGTGTCACAATCATGACTTTTCAGCAAGATAAATTTGTTAGGTTAGTATAGTGCTACCTACTTTTATTTTACTCTATATAGATAATACTCTCTCTGGTCGGTCCTATTTATAAGAGAAAGTTGATTTTTTAGATTCATTCAATAATTAATGTATTAATGTATCTGGTTCTGGTCTATTATACAATCCAAAGATAGTAGTATTTAATGTTTTAGAAACAATTTAGTTGTCAATGGAAGCAAGTATTTTGTGCTTGCTATTGACCTGTCAAAGTCACTTTATGATCAAAAGTTTTATTGCCTAATCCGCTTTTATCATGGACTGATATTAGGTTTGTTATTTATTATATGATGTTCAGATTTCAGGACTGGAATTCTGAGATGAACTCTCCTGGAATTCACGTGACGCGTTCAGGGAGAATTAGAACTACACTAAAATCAGTTTCTAGGAAGTTTCAAAGGGGCTTTGAATCTAGTTCTGAGAGGATAAAGGGATTTGCGAAACCATTCAAATCTTTTTCCCACCACAGTTTGCTTGCTAGGTTTTTTAGTTCTGGAAAGGAAATCCTTGACCCGCAGGGTCCTTTTCTTCAAAAATGGAACAAAATATTTGTGTTATCTTGTCTTATTGCTGTATCAATTGATCCTTTGTTCTTTTATATCCCTATGATTGATGATGACAAGAAATGTCTTTCACGAGACCGAAAAATGGAAACTACGGCAACTGTTTTAAGGTCTTTCTCCGATATTTTTTATATTACTCATATAATTTTCCAATTTCGTACGGGATTCATTGCTCCTTCTTCTCGAGTGTTTGGAAGAGGTGTTTTGGTTGAAGATTCTTGGGCAATAGCAAAGAGATATATGTCATCGTACTTCTTAATTGACATTCTTGCCGTTCTTCCCCTCCCACAGGTAGTGAAACTCTTATGTGTTAATTTCTTTAGTTATTGCACTCTAGTCTAATATCATAACATGTAGGAAAACTCATCATGTAATGTAAATATGTAATTAGGGAATAAGTTCAACCCTCCATGTTTAATTTCATAAGTGTTTTATGTGCTTAGATTGAGAAGTTTACATGATTGGATTCATTTAGTGATCTTATTCTGTCTCAAAACTTGCTCTTACATTGTTAGGTGGTGATTCTATTTATCATTCCGAAGATGAGAGGCTCAGAATCACTGAACACAAAAAATTTGCTGAAATTTATTGTCTTCTTTCAATATGTACCACGGTTTGTACGAATAGCTCCACTATATAAAGAAGTCACAAGGACCTCTGGCATTCTCACAGAAACAGCATGGGCTGGAGCTGCATTCAACCTCTTTCTTTACATGCTTGCAAGTCATGTATGTTTCTGCTATTTTTGTTTTTCTTATGCACATTTTTCAAAAAGTATTTTAGCTATATTTAGTAACTTGCATGAGTTTTTTGTTTCCATTTGATTTATGAGTTCATTGTTATTTTCCTGATATTTTTTTTAAAAACACACGGTTTTAAATTTCAAATGTCTCTGATATATTGTGGTTTTATTTTAGCTGCTACACTAAATTTCTTTTTTCCTGATCACTAGATTAAAAAATTAAATTTTGTTAGCCACAAATATCTGCCCTTGTGGTGACTATGTGAACACACCTGGGTTATGATCCCAATTGTGCCATTTACATATCTGAGATGTACATTACTTGAGGGCATATTGAGCACATGCGTCTGATGCTATGCAAAATATACAGAAATTTTCAGTGTTGCCTTGTTCATGCTTCTTACATCTTTGTATATATTGTTGTTTCAAATTCTCGTGTCCACATCACTTTATGTTGGTTCTCAATGTAGCATTTTAAAATCCTACATAATTGTTGTCATTTTTTATAAAGTGTTCTTATTAATGAAAATTTTAAAAAAATGATATGGTCTGCCTTTTCAAAATAATAATAATGAAAATTCAAAATTATATCATCTACCTATCTTTCTAATTTCCTGATTTACTTGTTCATAGGTTCTTGGTGCCTTTTGGTACTTGTTTTCTATAGAAAGAGAAACCACATGCTGGCAAAATGCATGTGGAAAAAATAGCACCTGTATAAAGGCTCAAATGTATTGTGATGATCGTCATGGTTTGGGCAATATTTCAACATTCCTAAATGCTTCATGCCCAATACAGAATCCAAATACAACACTTTTTAATTTTGGAATTTTCCTTGATGCCCTTCAATCTGGAGTTGTGGGTTCAACCGACTTCCCACAGAAATTTTTTTATTGTTTCTGGTGGGGTCTAAAGAATTTGAGGTTTGCTTCATAGAATCTTTTTTAATATATGCTATTTGTTTTTTAGATTATAAAATAGTCATATGCTGCAACATGTTTATGATTTTTGTGGCCACTTTATTAAGTAACTTTATCATGATTTGGTTCAAAGAAGTGGAAAATGGTTTTGGTTTAAGTTTGGGACACAGTTAATGCCTCAACGAAATGGAGAAATTGGGGTTCTGCTTGTCAAGTGCAGTATTGTCAAATATCGGCCATGGTGGACATTGGTGGCAGTTTTTTGGCTCTCCGACACAGCTCCATATGATAGGCTTTATTGTGGAATTTTGGCTCTCCACTGTGGTCTGCCATCTATCATCGGCAACATGGGTCAAGCTATGTTGTTAATCCCAGATAGCGCTGTGTAGCACCGACCGCCTAAAATGCTGTAGCGGCAGCTATTGCAAAGGCTAAAAATCAATGTGCAAAGTAAAAATAAATACTCAAAAATAGAAAAATACACAAACTAAATAGACTTTTATACTGAATAATTAAAGAACAAATAATTAAGAACCTACGGGATAGAGAAATAAAACTTCACGGGACTGAACCAGAAATAGGGAAAACATAACAATTGTTTGTGAGCAAGAACATAATAGAATGAAGAACAAAATATTACAATTAAGTTTACAATTCAGTTGTGGGGCTAAGATTGATCACAAGTCAAAATTCTAAGAGTTATTAAGTCCTGTCATAGCTAGATCTATTGCTGGGCCACTTGCATTGTCACACTTCAGGTCCACAGCTTGGGCATGAGGAGTGTGCTGGAAAATTGTGTTAATTTTTGGTCTGCCCCTAGCCGTCTTAATTGCAGAAACTTTTGGTTACAACTTCCAGCACCTTCATTGTGTGAAGTGAGAAAGCGTGTAGTCTCACAGCACGTAGAGATATGGTTTAAGTAGTGCATGCTAGAATGAAGAACAAAATAATACCATTAAAAGGATTTGAATTGACATTTATACCCTTAAGAAAGACAGGGTTCTATAAAAGACTTTGGGGAATTTCTTTCCGAAACCCTAATAGCATATGCAATAGTGGTTTAATCCCACATCACGATTCCTCACCTTACAATTCAGTTTTGTGGGGATGAGATTGATCACAAGTCAAAATTCTAAGTTATCAAATATTGGAACTTTTTCTGGGAATTTTTTGCATGTCATGAAACAAACTCACCCATAGTAATCTTAAATTTTAATTTCAAATATCTTTACCAAGTCAGTATCTAACATTCTGTTAATATTTTTCCACCCTCTTTTGGGGATCCCTTTTAATGCAGTTCCCTTGGTCAGAATCTGGCAACAAGTACTTTTGTTTGGGAGATCTGCTTTGCAATTTTCATTTCCATTGCTGGTTTGGTATTATTTGCATTCCTCATTGGAAATATGCAGGTTGGTAATGAATATATCTATTATAATGTCGATTAATTAGACAACAATACTTTACTATTTGTTGAATATGGAATAAATTGGTTGCCGGTACTGTGATCCAACCTTTTTTGTTAATGATTACTGGTTTAATGTCTTTCTGCTGGCTATAATTTTCTTTTGTTGTTGCAATAGCACTTTACATTTGTTTATTGCTATTTGATTTGATTTTCCCTTTGGGAGACTTTCTCAAGTAAAAGGACATCATGTTTTTGGTACTAGAGCACTTACTACAGTTACAGTGGGAATGATCAGTATTATATTTCGATGTACTTATTGGGAATTGCCCGACCCAAGGGTGAGGGAGACCTAAAACAAATTTTGGGAGAAGCTGGGCCTTTTTGCCATCATATGTGATCTTTTTGCTTCATAAATATCTATATGTGCTTTTAGGTTTGACATTTTGTTAGTATATGTGGCCTGTTTGTTTTATAAAAACTAATTGCACAAATTATTTTGCTACTTTGCCTAAAGTTAGGGCTTTATTTGCCTCACCCATTGATTGGCCCTCTTACTGGAGAGTGGATGAACATCTCTTGTAGAACTAATTTCTGGGGGTCCTGGAAAAGTAGTGGCCATTGTAGTAATTTTGACATGTGGTCATAATAGAGTCTTATCTTCGTCTCTTCTAAGGAAAATGCATGCGTTTGGTTTTTTCAAGTGATGTTGGCTGCCTTGCCTCTGCCATTGTAGTAAACCACCTAAATTCGGGCTTATTAAGTTATGATAACTATATTGGCATGTTGCATAAATGCAAACATGTTTCTAATGTCCTTCCACTTCATAGATATTATACCATCTTTAAATACAATCTTGTTCCTCATTTGTTTATTTGGACATTATTGCTTGAAAAGTAGTTTCACGCCTGAACCATTCTATTACGAGGTTATTTTTTTCAACGATTTGATCCATTATACTTTATTTTTCTTCCGAAACAGACATATTTGCAGTCAACAACTACGAGATTGGAGGAGATGAGAGTGAAAAGGAGAGACGCGGAACAGTGGATGTCTCATCGACTACTTCCGGACAGCTTGAGAGAAAGAATCAGACGACACGAGCAATACAAATGGCAAGAAACCAGAGGAGTTGACGAAGACAACTTGATTCGCAATCTTCCCAAGGATTTGAGAAGAGACATCAAGCGTCATCTTTGCTTGGCTTTACTAATGAGGGTGAGTTTCTCCATGATTCCTTTTTAAATTATGTTAACGCAAGAGTTTTTAATACTTTTCAAGTATCTCTGTTTCATTTTTTGGTTTTTCATTCTTTATCTTTCCATGATTTAAAATGGTTGTTGTTACTTTCTTTGCCGAACAGCTCTATCCATCATGCCTAACAGCCTGTTTTAGTGTATCTATATTATGTTTATAGGAGAGCATTTTCTTAGAATTTTGAGTTAGACATAACTCATCTTTACAAAACTGAATTGTAAGGTGTGGATTGTCCCCACTTATAAACATATTTCCAGATCATATCTCATTCGATGTGGGACTCTTAGTACACCTTCTCACGCTCAACATTATTAAGCTTGGTGCGCATATATAAATATTGAGTGGTCCGATAACAAAAAGCAGAAACCCTGTAATAGGTGACCCTACGGCTTTTGGATAGATTCTGATACCATCATAGAATTTTGAGTTTTACATAACTCATCCTTACAAAAGTGATTTGTAAGGTGAAGAAAACTCCCACTTATTTACATATTTTCAGACCATACTTCATCCGATGTAGGATTCTTAACACACTTAAATAGAATATCTTTTAGTTAGGATGATATGGTATATTGTATAATATGCTCAAAAATACTCCAAACACATGAAATTAAAAGTCAATTTGGCCTTTTAATTTTGTATGAAAAAGAGAGATTACAAGTTAATTTACAAAATTATCTTTTATAAATGAGATAAGATGGATAAATTAAAAGAATGAGAATAATAAACAGTGAAGGGTATGAAAAGAGAAGTAATATTAATGTTGTATTGGTATTGCAAAGTGGCTTATAATTTGTGACGATTTTTGACGAGTTGTTTGGCAAAATGATTTATTATTTGGGACAGAGGTAATATCGATTAATTTCTGAATTTCTGTTTCTATGACAGAATAAATTAGTGAATAACATACCGGTGTCATTTGTTTGAAACACGTTCTGTATGTATGTTTCAACTCTTTTGAATTGCTGTTAATCATGTTTTTCACTTGTAGTCATAATGTTACTGTCTTCTGTTGTAACTGAATTGCTTCGAGAGACGATAAACATAGTCACGTTAAAAGTTATTCTATGCGCTTCGTGGTGAAGAATCATTGGTATTCAAAATATCAAAATGAGCAGTCTGGTTAATTTTAAAACAATCCTTGCAAAATAGATCATTCACTATCCGCTATTGGAAGCACTTGAATATGAATATTACTTATTATCAACTATTTATTTACATGAGATATATAATCTAAATAGTAATATAATCCTACTACAATTCTAAAAAAACACTCAACAATTCATTTTATGATAAATATCAGTATTGCAATTATACTTTTCTCTCTTTTCTGAAATCAAATTTCACCCACAAAAATGCAATAATCAGATGTAGACTGGCTATCAGTCGTATCTTCTGCTCAATCGGCATCCAAATATCCAACTATATTAGTATGACCTCCATGATACCAACTTGAAATATGAATATTTTTATTATATTGAAAAGGTTGAAACAACTATTTTTATACATGAGATATAATCTAAATAGAAATGCAATTCTATCATAATTTCAAAAGATATCAATAACATTTTTTAATCTTTCTTGAATGGATTATAGGTGCCAATATTTGAGAAAATGGACGAGCAGCTTTTGGATGCAGTGTGTGACTGCCTCAAACCAGTACTTTATACAAAAGAAAGCTGCATTGTCCGCGAAGGAGATCCTGTCGATGAGATGCTCTTCATAATGCGCGGCAAATTATTGACTGTGACAACAAACGGTGGAAGAACAGGTTTCTTTAACTCGGAATACCTCAAAGCTGGTGACTTCTGTGGAGAGGAGCTTCTCACATGGGCATTAGATCCTCGTTCCTCGGCAAACCTTCCCATCTCAACCAGAACTGTCCAAACACTTTCAGAAGTGGAAGCATTCGCTCTAAAAGCCGAGGATTTGAAATTTGTTGCATCACAATTTCGGCGCCTTCACAGTAAGCAGCTTCGCCACACTTTTAGGTTTTACTCTCAACAATGGCGGACATGGGCTGCATGTTTCATACAAGCAGCTTGGAGGCGCTATTGTAAAAAGAAACTTGAAGAATCTCTCAGGGAAGAGGAAAATAGATTGCAAGATGCATTGGCCAAGGAAGGTGGTAGTTCACCTAGCCTAGGTGCTACAATATATGCTTCAAGATTTGCTGCTAATGTGCTTCGAGCTATTCGGAGAAATGGCACAAGGAAAACTAGGGTGCCAGAGAGGCTACCTCCAATGATGCTCCAGAAGCCGGCCGAACCCGATTTTACTGCTGAAGAGCAATAGTGCGAGGTGATCAATGGAGATGGATGCCTTGTGTTGTATAAGAAAAGCAAAGAAAAGATGTCACATAAAATGAACTTTTGATAGGAAGAACAAGTAAAAAAAAAAAATAGGAAGACCAAGATGTCATTTCATTTATTTTATTTTGTAAGTTAGTTTAAAATATAGAATGTGCATAAAAATATTGATTATGAATTGTATATATACGCATGTGATTGCTGCTTAAATGATTTTCATTCTTGAATGGAACTGTCTAAAATGAATATATATTTCTTTACAATATTTTTTCGTGCTTGGATGGTGATGAAATTTGTAGAGCAGACGTGTTATCAACACGCTTCCTGATACCCTTTTAATTTGTTGAAAATTTAATGGTTACATTAAATCATGTAGATTCCAAGTAAACATAGAATTTAGAATTGATTTGAATTTCAATTAACTGGATAGGACGTGTTTAGAAGAGTATGAAGTGACATGATTTGGTGTACATGATTAATCGATTGGCGAGAATGGTTTAAAGTGACATGATTAATCGAATGCGTATTGGATGCAGATTCCCTAACTTTGAATTGAGAAAGTCTATGAGCTAATATCACACATGCATATGCATGTACCCCATCACACCACATTTCTTTCTGTTTATTATTATTAACTTTAAATGTAATAAAATTTATTTATTTTTGGTTAAAGTAGTATAATGACTGAAATCTGTCTTACTAAAAATAGAATGTCACAAGTTGGAACTTGCATTTCTGCCTTTGATATTTCTATATATCTAGTAATTGAAATATCTTAACCTTACTCAACGCATTAGACATTTTGTCCACCAATGTTGTCGTTGACCTACCACCACCATTGATCTTTTCTAAGTTAGTTTAATGTTTAGGTAAGAATAGAAAGTTAGTCTGATTTTAAGAGGAATAAGTCTGGGTCTTTAGTTTATGGAGAAAACAAAAAAAAAAAAAAATCAAAATTCAAATTTTTTTTGTCACGTATCTGATATCAATGTTACACAATATTGACTTCCCGCTTCAAAGTCAGAAGATCCGAATCCAACACCATTAAAGCAAATTCAAAGGATAATGATAGAATACAGGACAAGAGTTTAAGAAACCCTTTATCTTCATTTTTAATTTGAGTTATAATATAATGAAACGTTTAATTACATGCTAGTACTAGTCAAGTAGTGATTTTCAATTAGAATTATTAATGAAAGTTATGTTAGAATAACATAAGGTTATTAAAGTAGTTTAGAAAAAAAATAAGAAATATAATTTAATCATTTATCATTTAATAAATTGAAATATCTTCAAACAAAAACCATAATGCAGACTATTTATAATGGAATGTCCTTTTTTTATTTAACGTGATACTAAAGAGAATTGTTTGTTTCCATTTTAAGGATTGAAAAATCAAAATTATTTATAAAATATAGATATATATTTTCAGACATAACTCATTTACATATAATTCATTCGGTATTAAATTATACCTTAATTTTATTTAAAATTAATACAGAAATACATCTCCGAATAACTTAGAGAAATGTACCTTCAAACGAATGTTTAATAAAAAAACTCATCAGACTCTTCTCCTTCCTCATTTATTTTTTACTCTCTCAAACCCTCAAACTCTCTAAATTCACTTCCAATTTTCTACTATCAACATTCAATCAATCAAAGTGCTCAACATCAAATTCACATTTGATAAGTTTTTGATTTCTCTATACATTTGATTTCTATGCATGCATTTGTAGAAATTGAACATTAAGTTGTATAATAGGTAGTTTAACTGAACATTGTGTTTGATAGATAGTTTAGATGAGCAAAGCGTTTTGAGAATCTTGGACTTTCATGCATTTCTGCCATTTTTAGTTTTTTCCAAGTTGCAGGTTAATACGGAAATGCACTTCCATATTTGTTTTAAAATTTGATTTTCCAAAAATTCAAAAATGCATTTTTGTATTTGGTTTATCTTCATTGTTTGCCAGGATTTTTATTGTGTTTCATCTGAGTTTGATTTTTTCTACAATGTAATGCTTTTGTGGTTTAATTATAGGCATTATGATTGATAATCAAACTATATTGAGACTCTGCAGAGTGTCACAACATACATCGGTTCGTAGGAAAATAACCTAACTCTCGCAAGCACTGGTCAATTCTAGTTCGTTTGATCCCGAGGTGTAAACTTCTGGTTTCTTGCATCTTCAGCTTTTTCTTCCTAAAGGATGAAGGTGTCATCTCTTGATGCCTCAGAAGCCCCACTAGTCCAAGTTAAGGCACCACATGTTGATGTCATTTTTGAGAGTTTTGGAGGAAACTCGTACGACTTATTGTTGTTGCCTCTATATCCGAACCATGTTGTCAAACATGTGTGGGAAGGAGAGGTAAAATTCATCTGTATTTATTCTTTGAAACATGTGTGTTGTATGATTTAAAATTTTTTACAATGATTTATTTTACTGCGAGACTGTGATGCTTTAAAATGCATCAATCATGGTTGGAAGATTGCGAGATTGCATTCGCCTCGATAGCAGTGGTTTCACGATGTGATGCAATTATTTGGGTTGCAAACCCGATTGTTCTACTATTAATCATGGTATGCTATCAATGTTCGTTGAGATATGACACTTATAAACGTCATCTTTTCATCTTCCACATGGTTAGATGTCCATCACACTAGACGATGTGTCATGTCTGCTGCATCTTCTAATAAGAAGAAGACTATTAGACCACAAAAGAATTATCAAAGATGAAACACAAAAGATAATGGTGAAATATTTGGAAGTTTCCCCATGGGAGATGTCTTGAAGGAGATATAAGACACTTGAGGATGTCATGCTAGGTTTCAATTCCTAGAGAGTCTGTATGCATAACAGTTGACAGCAGCAGAGTAGGCCGATGGTGATGATGAAAAAGTTATGCAGAATATAGTTGTCATTGTTGGCGTTAGCTGTCAACAAAATTGTAGGGACTATAATAGGAATATAGTTATTAATTGTTAATTTCTCTGATTTGGTTATAATTATTCTGATTTAGTTATAATTAGAAATAGGGTTTTCTGTGTATATAAATATAACCAATTCCCATCTGATGTATATGATTGAAATATATAAAAAATATTATACCAATTTAACATGGTATCAACCGCCAGGTCTTAATCCAGACCTACGGTAACACTTTCCATCCTTCTTCCATGGCCGACTCGGATTCAAACTCCGATGAGACTACCTCGTCTTCTATTCTTGCTGAGTTGACGACGAAAATGAAGGAAGTCCTGAACCGTGCTTCAGCCCCGTCACAAATTGGCTTCGACCATACGGTGGCACCGATTGGCATCAAGTTAGATGGCAGCAACTATCCCCTTTGGTCCCAGGTGGTCGAGATGTATATCTCGGGCAAAGACAAACTGGGATATATCAACGGAGATTTCCCGCAACCCCCTCAAACAGATCCTACATTTCGACGTTGGCGGACTGACAACGCGATTGTTAAGGGATGGATAATCAACTCAATGGACTCCTCTCTAATCAACAACTTTATTCGATTCTCAACTGCCAAACTGGTGTGAGATGCAATTGCGACCACGTACTTTGATGGCAGTGATACCTCCCAAGTGTATGACCTTCGGCGACGGGTGACACGTCTTAAACAAGCCGGTGGTTCTCTTGAAAAATATTATAACGATCTCCAAGGACTTTGGCGTGAGATAGATTTTCGTCGTCCAAATTCGATGACATGTCAAGTTGATATCCAACACTACAATACACTTGTCCAAGAAGAACGAGTGTATGTGTTTTTGGATGGACTTGATGACCGCTTGGATAATATCAGAAGCGACGTTTTACAAATGAAACCGTTTCCAACAGTGGAGCAAGCATATGCACATGTTAGGAGGGAAGCTCTTCGTCAGGCAGTGATGACAGACAACTCCAATGAATTATCAGGAGCAGGTCTTGCATCCAAGGGTCTCAAATTACAGAACAGTAAGATATTTTCTCAATCCAAACATAAAGAACCATCTAATGACACTAAGTGCTCTCATTGTGGAGGTAACAAACATACTAGTGAGACATGTTTTAAGCTTCATGGCTATCCAGACTGGTGGACAGACTTTCAGGCTCGAAAGCGTCGCGAAACAGCTGAGAACAACCCGGGCAAAGCTGCAGTAGCTACTGCTGAACCACATCTTTCCCTCATTCTGAAATCAAGTTCCCACACCACTGAAGGTAATGTTCTAATTTGCTCTAATCATGATGATGACTCTAACGCATGGATACTTGATTCCGGAGCTACCGATCATATGACGTTTGATGCTGCTGATTTCTCTGAACGTTCAACCCTTCGGCGCTCAAGTATTGCCAACACAAATGGTGATTTATCGGCGGTAACAGGGGCTGGAACTGTGATGTTATCACCAACCCTTTTGCTTTCAAATACATTACTTGTTCCCTCTCTATCTCATAAGTTGTTGTCTGTGAGTCAAGTTACAAAAGACTTGAACTGTGTTGTTCTAATTTTTCCATCTTTCTGTTTTCTTCAGGATATTCTCACGAAGGAGATCATTGGGCGTGGTACTAAGAGAGGGGGACTTTACTATATGGAAGATTTTAGTGTAGGCCGAGCGCATCACATGCATTATCCAAGAAACAACAAAATGGAGCAAGTCTTACTTTGGCATCGTCGATTAGGCCATCCTTCGTTTGGCTACTTGAAACATGTGTTCCCAAACTTATTTTCAGATAAATCTTTGTTGAACTTCAAATGTGAAGCTTGTATTTTAGCCAAGAGCATCGAGTCACTTTTCCATCAAGTATGAATAAAAGTAATGTTCCTTTTGCTTTAATCCATTCTGATGTATGGGGTCCATCCCCAAAATCGTCTCTCTCTGGTTATCGGTGGTTTGTTATATTTGTTGATGATTGCACTCGAATGACTTGGACTTATTTGTTGAAACAAAAAAATGAAGTGGTACACATATTTCAACAATTTCATAAAATGATT